AATCATTGCATGCATGCTAGAACAACGCATTAAGATGTTTTGGTAGTGTATGCGTATCTTGACATTGATGAGTTTGTATCACTTTTATTTTTTCCATCTTTTGTTGATTTATTTATTTTATTCGGTGAAAACAGATGAGGTTCTTGAGCCACACGGGTCCATTGGTCGTTCCATTTTGCAACAAAAATCAAGTAAGTTGTAGTTTCTTGTCATCGACAATCTATTTTGAGCTCTTCCCGAATAATATCATATACATCATGGTTCTAATTTTATATGGTGTTTCCTTTAGTTCCTATATCAATTTTCAAATTTCATGCATCAATTTTATTGTTATTTTATATTCATTCTCCTTGATAGTATATATACCAAATAATTTGAACTTGAACTTAACCTTAAAACTAAATACATTAAATTCTGAAAAAAAAAAAATACAGAATAAATTATAGAAAAGAGCAAAGATAATTAATTTTGTTTTCTAGCACGCATTTATCTTAGGATGCCGAATTGTTCTCTTTCCATTAGTCTTATCGAGTAAAGATTGTCATGTGCTTCATGGACCATTCCAATTAATGGTACAATTAGTTATCTCATTAATCAAATAAATTTTCTTATTATTTGTTATCACTAACCAAATATCTAATTGGCATCAAAAGAACATATGCTATTTAATCGATCGGCTTTCATCAATTTTTTTTTTTTTTTGAAAAATAACTACAGCATGCCCTGTGGACTTTGAGAACATGAATTACACAGTTATAACAAGCCAGTGCAAAGGTCCCAACTACACACCAGAAAGATGCTGCAACCCGCTCAAGGAACTGGTCTGCCCCATAAAGGATCAATTCAATGACCTAAAGACTAATTGTGCCGACACCTTTTTCAGCTACATAAATTTGTATGGAAAGTATCCACCGGGACTTTTTGCAGCCTTGTGCAAAGAAGGGGAGAAAGGGCTCGACTGCTCGAATGTGCCTGACCAACCATCCCGATCAACACCCAACCAAAGCGGAGCCCTTTCTTCTAGTGCTTATAGCATCACTATGGCCATGGTCTTTGTTATTCTACTGATAATGATGTAGATATTTTATGTTTGATCAACAAAAGTGCTTATGAGAGCATGACAAAATTGAAAAAGCATTGGATTATGTTTAAGGTCATATATTTCGCTTGATATATGTTTCCTTCACACGATGACATGAGTGTTTCTTATTTGAAATTTCCTACTTCTTTCTAATTTCATTTGTGCACTGAGACTGTCGTATGTAAACCTTTCATATGGTAGTAATACTTGTCAATGGAAAAACTAAATGTTTATATCACTTGTGATGTCATCACATAAAAGCCCATAATGGTTTTCGATTGAACCACCTAACCTCAACTCACAAAGCGAATCAATCAGCAAAACCATGCAAGGGTTTCCTTCAGTAAAGACACTTCGACAATCAAGTTAAGAATCAACGATATTATGCAATAAAAATAGATTGTTTGAGAGAGTGAACATGGATCCCTTATTTATAGAGAATTAATAACTTGTTTCTTAAGGATATAATTTCCATAATATACTCCTCTCGAATTATGGAAAATATATGTTTAAATAAAAATAGATATCATCCATCTAACTCTTACCCAAACTTCAAGCTAGTTTAAATACTCAATACACTTGTGCCCAGTCCAAAATGCGTTCAAATAGTTTAAAATGTCATGTCAGCTAGTACCCTACACTCTGGTATCGTAAGCGAGCTTAGATATTAAGAGTGAGAAGGTAGTGCATATCAAGATTGTCGTAAATCATCAAATGAAATAAATAAAATAATAATAAAAAATTAAAATAAATTTTTTTATTAGATATCAACCAGATGTATTCAAGCTCCATAAAAAAAACTCATAAAATAGCTAAAGAATATATTCTAATAAAGTATATTAAATGTTCTGTAATGCCCCCGTATATTTTTAGTATTTTTGGAGCTCGACTTTATTTCCATGAATAGCAAGGTTTTTTATTTGATGCATTTATTTATATTATTTGCATTAAATCGAGTATTTAATTCTAGTCTAAACCATGGAGAATTTATTCGATTTTATTTTTTAAATTGAATTTAGTTAGCCTAAGTATCGGTTCTTTTTAAGATGAAACCGAGCTTTGGAGAAATCAGAATTTTATTTGAGTTGGGCCGAAGCCCGAACGAGCCGAACCTCGGCCGGAATAATTATTCACACAGCCCATTTTAATCCGGCCCACTTTAAATCGAGCCCAATAAATCCGGCCCTATTATTTCGAGCAAGCCCAGAAATTCGACCCAATTGTGTAATCAAGCCGTCATTTTATTTTCGTGCCAAATAGCAATAATTCGGCCCAAGTTCTTTAGTCCAAGTCCCGCTGTATTTTAACTAGCCCAATCGTTTTATTTATTTGGCCCAAGTGTAGTATCTTGAAATTACATGGCCCAAGCCTAAGTATTTTTAGCTCATCTTCCACACACACCACCAAAACCCTAACTCTCTCTCACTATTATATATATCATCCACTAGCACACCATCCTCATTTTGCCAACACAAACCCTAGATCTAGAATTTTCCATAGAAGAAATCATCTCCTAGCTCCTTCTTTAAAAAAATTCGGCCACCACCTCCAAGCTCCGGCGTGCCCTCGACCCCGGCGAGCCAACATCCACGCCACCACGTTGAGTCGCACGCCTCCTCCACGTCACTGCCATACGCCCCAGCTTGCCCAGCCCGTTCCCGTTTGTACGCCGTCGTCCACTCGGAGCCGCTTCCGTACGCCCAACACCATCACGCGTCCCTCCCTTGCGCAACACTCCGTACGCCGGTGCCAACGCAATGCTCCCAGTGTCCGTACCACATGCCTGTCATATGCTCTCCTCGCTGCAACCCGTCTGTACGCGCGCGACGCCAGCTCCACAGTAGATTCATCCCAGCAGATCGCGTCTGTACGTCGTCGACAAACCACAGCCAGCAGCCATCCATACCACGTCGCGCCACCATCAGCCATGACTAGAGCCAGCCACTTCACGCCAGATCTGAGCCATCCTCGTCGAGCCAAGCCCAAATCCAAGCCAGCCACGCCGTGCCTGAGCCGATTTTCTATTTGAGTCCATTTTGAGGTATAATGGTTGAAACCCTAACTCCATTGGCTTAGACAACAATTGTAGTTTATTTTAAAAATGGTTTGGCATGAATTTTAGTGAGATATGCATAGATCTAAATTTTTATGAGCTTAAAAGGCATGATTTTTAGATCTTGAGTTATATAAATGATAAAATCGTGATTCCAACTCTATAAATCTTGTTAAATTGTCTTGAGGCTTAGGTGAAAATTTGGTGAATTTTGGAGAACGATTGCTATATGAACCGAATTTGTGGATCTAGAGCTATAACGTCTGATTTTGGTTGACTGAGTTAGAGGTTGAATCTTGCTATGATATTTTAACCAAAAATTATATATATGTTGAGGTTACTGTGGTTAAACTTTCGTGATTTTTGGAGACCGTTTGATATAGTTTAAAATTCGGGACTTTAGCCTTGATTAGTGGTATTTTTAGAAATTGTTTCCGTTGAGTTTTAGCTAAAGTTGTTGGACCTAAAATCCTCATAAATAACATAGAAGTTAGGGTTAAAATTTTGGCTTAAAATGAGTTAGGTTGCTCGGAGAACTAGAGCCCTAGTTTTTGCCCAGTTCCGCACAACGTGTAATTTTTAGATCCGAGCATAATCGCTCGAACCCTAGTAGCATATAAATGACTTCAGACGTCATAACGTTATTAATAAGCCCTTGGGATATTGGGATGTGGTCGATCGGCTGGTGAGTCGCCGGCGAGACCATAACCGAGCCTAAGAAGGCTACCGAGACGGGTGCCTCATAGCGAGCGTAACTAACCAACCGGCGTGCATCTATCTTTAACGCGTATCGTCATCCCGCACACATGTCCCACTCTCATCCCATCATTGGAGCCGAGCCACCGAGTGCGTGCCTGTGCACCGAGTCTGACCGAGCCGCTCCTATGCGCTCTGCCCAAGGCCCGTGTGTCCGTCCGGCCTACCCGTCAATGCGATGTTTCCGTTAGTCGTGGTCCAAGCACTCCCCTTCATTAGTGACCATGGCACCATTTCAAACCCTTATGACGGCAAAGCCGTGTCAGCCGTGTTCGTGCTTGCCCGTAAGTTGCTACGCCGAACCCGGACCACGGTTGAGCCGAGCTGCACATAATCAAACGAGTGACCGGTCTGTTCTGAGCGAGTCGCCGGTCCAGTCCAACCGAAACGATCCGGGATTAAAAATGGACCGACCAATGAGGCTTGAAATAACTGGGCCTACTTGTGCCGGAATAAAATGGCTCGGCTCGAGAATTTAATAAATTCCTGACTTTTCTAATACTAGATTAAAATTATAAATCGAGGCTTAAACTTAAGATTATATTTCATTCCCAAAATTAAATTCAAACATTTTCTCCATGGCTTAGACTTAGGTCTTTAATAAATTATGTAATTAATAATAAATAAAATATGGCATAATTATGAACTTACTATTTCTGAAAAATAAAGTCGAGCTAATATATAGAAATTGGGTCGGGGCTTACATCTAACAATGTTTAACAGAGTAAGTTTAGGCTTAGAGAGATGTGTAACCCAGTTTACATCTTCTATTCTAGTGTCAGCACCACCCCTAATCTTAGTTTTCAGCCATTTTGAGAAGACAGACATCATATCAAGCCAACTATTCCATATCCATGAACCATTTTGAGTTTTCACTACATCAAGGATAGAGCTATTAGGAAATTTCTGTCTTTGAGGATCCTGCTCACAAGTAGATCAGGGTTAGTGGCAATCCTCCAAAGTTGCTTGCAGATGAGAGCTTAGTTGAACAACCTGATATCATGAAATCCTAGCCCTCCCTCCAATTCTAGAAGAGATACTAGATTCCAGCTTTTCCAGTGTATCCCTTTGTTGGGTTCTATTAGGAACGACAACAACATGCACATTTGATTTTGGAAAATAAATCCTAACACAGCGGAATCTATAGTCAGGGTTAGGACATTACTGTTTAAAATTTTTGCCGACTCAGAGACGTTTCTGATTTCCTTTAACGGAGATCGTCTTATTACCACAACCCATGGGCTGAAAGGTTTGGCCTTTTTCGATTCTGATCGAGTCGCTGAATCACGAACGGATCACCGGATCGGGCTCGGGCCGATTGGATCAGATTCGGGTTGCTGGGTTTACTGGGTTGGACCTGGGTTGACTCGGTCGGCACTCGGGCAGGTCACGTCTTGGTTGGGTCGGGCTCGTGTGGTTCGCGGACATGCGCTGGCTCGAGTCACTGGCTGGTCACGCAGGCTGCTTCTGGCGCTGGACGGGACGCGCAGGTGCTGGAGCAGACATGTGCGGCGCTGGGATCTTGGGCGCGTCAGGAGCAGCAGTCCTAGGCCGATGCGGACTGGGCTCGGGCGACTGGGCTCACGCGGACGTGCGTCACGAGTCTCCTAGTCGTGCGAGGAGTAGCGCGCGCGTGTTCTCGGGCGCTGGGAATGGGGCCGCGCTGATCTCGGGACGATGATCAGCACGGGCTGGCAGGGACGGTGTGCGGTGATCACGGGGCGTCGCTGCTTGGAGCTGGTACCGGCGCTGGACGGCACGTGGCTGGGCACGGGACTACGCGACTGCGTGCGGTGGGCGCTGGTGACTTCCGACGTAGCTTGCGGCGGATGCGATTTCCGGCGACTCTCCGGCGGCTGAGGATGGCGGCGACTGACCGGAAAATAGAGGATCTTAAGAGGAGAGTCCAAGACATGGTGTATTTTTAGACTACATTAGGAACCTTAAGGAGGTGCTGAGTATGGGCTTATCCCATTAGACTAAGGAATCCTAATTCCATTCCATATACTTTTCCAACCTAGGATATAATTCCTTCTATTAATCATCACCTTCTAGAAGACTCTTTAGTCTCCTAACCCTAGGTTATATTCTAGAAGGAATATTCCTCTCCTAATAGAATATTAATTATCGAATAAATTTAATTCCTTAATCTAAATAGAATTAAATAATAAAATATTTCCACTGGAGAAATATTATTGCTCTCCACATTTAGCTCCAATTTATTCAATAAATCAAGCCTCCAAATGATTAATTAATATTAATCTAATTGACCGAATTACCTCCCCATGTCTAAGATATAACATTCGTCAATTAATTTAATTATTGACAATTAAATTAAATTTACTTATTCATTTCCGAAATTAGTACCACTCAGTTGATTAATCATTGTGTCGGATAATTA